GATGCCCCGTCCCTGGAGGTGTTCAAGGCCAGATTGGATGGGGCTCTGGGCAGCCTGGTCTAGTATTAAATAAGAAGGTTGGTGGCCCTGCATGTGGCAGGGGGGTTGGAGATTCGTGATCCTTGAGGTCCCTTCCAACCCCGGCGATTCTGTGATTCTGTGATATGACTGTCATTTTGCATTGTCTTCAGAGACACAGACAGAGCTGGTTTGTCATAATAAAAACAACCACTCCTTTAGACTATCAAAACTAACTTTGCTTTTGTTCTTGCAGAAGGAAGACACAGTAAATCAATACCATCTGAAAGACAGCCGGAAAGGGCTTTCTCCTTATGAAAATCAAGCAGCTGCAAAAAAAGCAATCATAAAGAGCTTTTTTGATGCTTTACATTTTAAATTAAAAGTACAAAAAGAGAAGAGGCAAAAAGATACTTATTTCTGCCATAGAGCACAGCTGTTTTGTATCTAACAATAACAGCTGAATGTCTGGTATTATTATGTAAGAGGACTGGGCACTTTTTCCAGCAGTGACTGTTAAGGCCCATTTGAACCACTCAGTTGAAATTAACACCTGGCTCATAGGGCTCTGACTTTCATCCTAAGTACAGTTCAGAATGGGAGGAAAAACATTACTTACCATTATAAAATTCAGTATTTTTTTTCTAGCACACAATGGCTTTGGAAATGTCTAAAAGGGGCTGACTGTACTGTTCCTTTCTCCACTTCTGCTACCAGTGGCAATAACAGCCAAACTTTTTTTTTTTGTGCTAGCCAGAGACTGACAAAAATTTGGTGATGCTGTGGTGGTGATATATTGATGTTTTGGATGTACATGTATGTAGTTACATACATATTTTACCTGAGATGATTGAAAACTGAAAAGGGAACAGCCATATAAATATTCAAAAGTGAGGGATAATAGTATGGTGAAAGAATTAGCTTACCAATGAAAAATTGTTTTTTGTTAGCATCTAAATGCCTTCATCCAGAAAAAATAAAGTCTCATAGAGCTCTTTAATCTCAGTGGAACATAAAACAGGCACCAGAAAGTTGGAAAAATCTTTCAATCTTTAAAGTATAACACCACAAACCTCAACAAACCACTCATTAAAAATTACAGTCATACATGCTCCTCCAGTGTCTGCAGACCCAGACTGGATGTGTTTTTGGAAAACATGCTTTAATTGCATCCAATGGGAAATGGGATGGAATGTAATCACCAGTGAGATAAAGGAGACTTACAGAATATTAAATTGTTCATAGTTCCTCTGGATTAAGCCATGAATTTAAGAAACATTAAAACTGTTCAGCCATCTCATTTCAAACCATACAGAAGTACAGCTACAGCCACCAGAGAGCTGGCAGATCCCCATCACTGGAGTGTTACCTGCTTTAGTCACTGTGAAGTTAATAAAGCAAACCAGTTCTTTCTTCTACAGGTGGATCACCTTGATTTTATGATGTCCTGTTTTATACAGAAAAAAGGAACCAGGACGAGAGTTGCCAAAAAGAAAATGAAGACTGATGTGTAGGACAATGAAACAGAAACAAATCCTAAACTGAAGCTGCATTACAGGCCAAGACTACTAAACTAGCTTCCACTGTGGCTGCCAAACTCTGCCCTAAACGGCTACTCAAGATAGTAAAAGTGTAAACACCTCATTCAAACAATTTTACTGCATTAGCAGTCAAAAGACAAATGTACTCTGATTGACCTCAGTCTCTTTAAAGCATTTATTATCAGAAGAAATAGCAAGTTATTTTTAGATATGGCATAAAAGTAGTTTGTGTATACCTTTGAACAGATTCAGTAAAAAAAAAAAACAACCCTTTTAAAAAAGGGTGATACAATGATACTGGTTTATTTAGCCAGTGAAGGTGAAGTGCTCCTATAGCTAGCACCCTGTGCTTGTTTTACATGAGTGACAAACTTCATTTTATCATTAAAAAACATCTCACTGTTTGAAGACTATAATAGACCAGCCAGGTGAAGTTTCAACCAAAGTCTTTAAAAATTAGCAGGAAAAAAATAAATTGATGGCCTACATCTTTAGTAACATCTCTCTTACTTCAAAGATATCTTGCTGCATGCCATTTACAGTTCAGCAATGCTCCTGGACTCCTCACCGTAGCAAAGATAAACATTATGTGATGCTTTATAGCATTGAGTGGCAAAGATGACAGGAAATGCTGCTGGTTGTGCCAAGGCATGACTTGGCTTCAGCTGGTTCCATACCCAGCAAATACTGGCTGTCAGTGGCAATGCAGAACGCCTCAAGGCAGTATTTCAATGCTTCCCAACCACTGGTGCGGTGTTCTGCATGTCTCCTCACGTCTGTGGTAACAGCAATGCAAAGAAATTGGTCTCTCACCTTCAGTATTTACAGCATATAGAATACTCAGTCAAGTTCTAGGTCTCACCAACTGTGCTTTACTGTGACTACTTAGATATTAAACTCTAGGATCCAGACCCCATAGTCTATTGCCTTTTCAAAGACCACTTGAGTGCAGGATGTACCTTCATAATGCCAAGAGATAGCTACACAGTATAGCAAACATGTGATTGATTCTTAACCATATGAAAGTGATACAAGAACAAAAATGCAAGAAAAAATGTTGCAGTCTGAGACGCAATGCCACAGCGTACTCAAATTAAGCATTATGAAAACACTAAGATTTTTGTACGTAAGACACTATCTAGTAGTATTCACCACTTGACTTTTCTGTTTACACAGACTCTGATAAAGATATACACATGATTACAGATTTGTTTACAGGCTGAAGTTAACCTCTATGTAATACACATATGTACAAGTATTACAAAGAATTTGCTTTCATCCTCTAAGTCAGTATCTGCACACTGAAATTTCATTGTTCAGGGGAAGCCAGCTATCCCACCTGGGGGAAAGAAATTTACAACTATTTTGTGGGAATATTTTGAACCCTTATATACACTGTTTCCAGAATATAGGGAATGAAGAGATCTCACTTATCTGTGCATCTTCATAGCCATCCGGATGAAATCATAGGATGGAGATAAATTCACACCGCTACCTATTGGTCAGTTTCAGAACAGGTTTTCTATGTAATGGGCATCAAAGTAGAATGCAATTCTGAGTTAGAGAAGCTTTAAATCCAGCATATATATGACTAAGAGACAAAAGCAATAGACGCAATTCACCTTTTGGAAGTCTGAATAATAACACAAGAATGGCATTATTTTAAATAAAACATCTTCCAACTGAATTTGCACTACTCAGGAAGCCTCTCACTATCCACTATTCTCCTTTTAAAGCATTTGTGTGGGAACCAAGATCTGGAATATTCTTGACCTCACAAACATTTTTTCTCCATCATGTAGATAGCTTCAATTCAGATGCATTCTCAATGGTTAGTGCAACACACACACACACCACAATACTCCCCCATTACAAAGTAGAAATTTTCAATGGAGTGGCCAGAACACCAAGCATACTTTGTGAGAGAAAGCAGATCTGACTTACCCTTTTCAGTTTCACTATAGTCCCATAACTTTTCAGAGGTTCAACAACTTTGGCTTCAAGCCTGTCAACCTACAAAAGACAACATGAGGCCACTAAAATCATCTCCATGCATAGTGTGCAGAAACAAAGTTAAAGGTTATAAAACAAACCAACAAAGCAATCAACCCCATTACGCCATCCACATCCTTGGATTTCTTATTACTTCTTCAAAACCCAGTTCTATGTACACCATAAAATATACAGAACTATAAATAGGAGTTTTCTATGCCCTTCTGAAAGAATAAATAATGCACACCAAAATTTGCTTTGATCAAGTAAATGTAAATTAATTCTTCCAGATCTCAGCATTTCAAAATCTGGATCATAAATAACCATTTAACTGTAAGTGACAGTTCTGCACCTAAAGATTTACCAGTGGCACAAACCACTCTCAGTGCATCTAGCAGAACTGTGACCATAGTGATACATGTTGTCCAAGTACGGGAAGCACTGAACTACAGCCTTACAGATACCTAAAGTGGCTCGCGACAGCACCTCAGACTGGCAGTCAGAGTGAAAGATTCTCTTTTGAACTGCTTCTAATCACAAATTCAGCTAAAGGAAAATGTTGCTACACAACTCAAGTCACAAAACTAATCAAACAAACAAAAAATCACCACTTCATTAACCTTAAATCGTAATCCAAAATCTGAGACCAGTAACAGACTTGCTCTATCTCAAATTCTGTGAGCATTCACATGCACAGTTTCACTGACTTCAGCAGGACTAATTACAGGCAGTTTTCACTGAAGTTATTAGCACAGTAAACTATGAGTGATTTGGCAGCTTCTCTTGTTCTGGCACTAATACATTTAAAAGTGGTTTCTTCTATGTTTCTCTTATGATTATAGAGCATATTTTTCCCCTTTTAATCACAGATAAGTAACTGCAAAGTTCAGATGGCAAACGCAACACGTACAGCTTTCATTTTGTACCTCTGCCTGGCGATAATCCTGAAGTCTGGAAAATTCATCTGCAAAGTTTTTCAGTCCAACTTTTAAGTTTGGTGTCTCTGTGGCTGCATATGCATATATTTCATTTACTAGAAGATCTGCTTTGTCTCGTAGTCTGGCAGTTTTACGTACATATCCAGCAAATATTTGGCACAATTCACCAAAATGTTTTTCCACATTTGAAACAGCATCTTGTATTTGTCTAGTTTGATTGTCCCTAGATACCAAAGAAAACGAAAAATAAGAAGGAGGAGAAAAATGTTTACAACACATACAGCATAAAAAACATGTCATTATACTGCGAATAATTTATATGTGATTTGGATATCTCATTTCACTGCTAAACACAGACCTACTCTTAAAAACATAACATTCTAACAACATTCTAATGGAACACGTCCTTAGGATTAACAAAATAAAGTGGGATTTGTACTTACTGATCCGATAGGGGAAAACCCAAATCACAAAAGTCATCTCAGAAGCCTTCCTACGGCTGTTTAACAACAAAGTTCAGGATTACTGTTACTGATATAACAGTGCTAACATCCGCAGGTCTCAAACGAGACAGGGTTACATGGCTTCCTGCAGCACTCTGCAATCCATACAGACAGGTGAAGGGTTGAGGAATCGAGCAACAGAGGGCAAATCAGAAAATTGAGAAAAAAAAAATTAATACTTTAAGACTGAGCAACAACGCAGTCACTTCAGACTGAGTACACCTTTCTTCAGGAAATGTTCTTCAGAAAAAAAAAAAAATAAAATAGTGTTACAGGGAGAAAACAGGCTGCTTACAGCAAGCTATCTAAAATACGTTTCAAAGGAGACCTCGTGCTTTCATACATCAAAATAAGAAATAAATGCCAGTTACTTTATTCCCGCAGGACATGCTTGAGCACAGAGCCAGCTGCAGAGCAAAGCTTTCACACCGCGCAGCTCCGCAGGCGCCTCTCCTCTCCACCTCGCCGCAGGGCCAGGCGCTTAGAAGCGCGCCACTGCCGGCGGCAGCCTCGGCTCGGCTCCTCACCCCTCTGGCGACCGTAGTGCCGCCGTGCTCCCACGCCTAACGGTTTGGGACACGAAACACACCGTTTCCTTAAGCGAGGGTGCGGTAAGTTCTGTGTTTGTATTCATTCTGTTCCCCTCCTAACTCTTCGTTCTTCAAGACCGCCCGGGGGCAATCGCAAACTTACCGCCCGACCCCGCGGTAAGTAAGCGTAACAGCGCGCTCCGCGAGGCGGCTGCGAGCAGCAGCACGGCGGGCTCCCGGACCCGCTCCCCGGCACCGCCACCGAACCGGGGCCTTCACCCAGCCCGGCCGAGCGGGGAAAGACGGGCAGAGGGCTCCAGCGGAGCGCGGTTACCGCCGCGACCAGGCCTCAGCTGCCCACCCGCGGGGCCCGGGACCTCTCCTTTCCCCTCCCGCGGCCCCGAGCCCAACCCCGCCCGCCGTTACCTGGCGTCCAGCCCGCGGCCCAGCATCATCATGGCGGCGGCGGCCCGGCGGGAAGGAGGCGGGCGCGGCGTGCGCTCGGTTTCCTTGGACACCAACCACCGCCCGCCCCCCGCCCCGCCCCGGGATGGCGGGGGTCGGCTGAGGGAAAGCATCCCTCCCTGTTCCGTCCTGTAACGATTTTTGAATTCATCACGCGTAAGCCTTTTGATTGCACGCAATTACAGCCCGATTACTGTGCTACTTTTTGTCCTCGTTCCTCTACGTAGGTTCAGGTAAGTCTGAGCAGTTTATCCTATGTACGAGCAATTGACATAACAGAGCAAGGCTTATCCTGTCACGCGTTCTCCCCCACTCACCCCCGTCTCCAGCTTTTATGCTTCTTGGTTTTATATACTTAAGCACAAATCATTGGTCTTGATATCTTCAATCTCCCGGTTTCCTGATGATGCCCTGTCCACTCAAGAGCCCCTTTACTCCAGCAGGACCTTTAGCTCACAGATTCTGACCTGGTTCTGTTGCACTGAGGTCTGAAAGTTGAAAACATGTTCTGTTACCTAAAGCCCATTTAAAATTGGTCACCCAGGAAAGCAGAATGCCACTGTGTAAAGTGCTACATTCTAAGGGAAAGTACAGAGTTGGTCCGTTTTCAAATTAGGAGCCAATGAGAGACAGAAACCGACACTTAGAAGGTAAAACACTTTGAAAATAAGGAAAAGTTATCATTAAAACCAAAGAAGTGGTTGTCAGTGGAACAAGACACAAAAGAGCAATGGCAGCTTATTTTCAGCTACTGCAAACTAAATCTACTTCAACTCTAAAGTGTAGGACTTGCATAGACATTTAAAAAAGGAATTTGTATATGCTGATTCTGCACATAATTTGGCTTAACATGATGCTACAGATAGTCCTAGAATGCATGGCCTAGCAGCTCCAGCTGCACATAAAAGGTTGAAAAGAATTACTTTAATGTCATAAGGGCCTGTTGAAATTTTGAGTCATCAGAGTGCACACAAGAGCACAAGCTGCAGAAACCACGGAGTGGAAAAATATTTTTGTACTATGATTTAGAAGTAATTATGATGTTGAAAATAATGCCCAATTTCCTCCTTATTACCTCTAAGTAAGTTTCTAGAATAACATACTAAAGATGATGATATCTTACAAATGGCAAATTCTAAAGATACGAAAGCTTTGAAATATCCAATTGGCAGTGTTTTCCAATATTTCTCCAGAGCATAAGCAACTAACAGGGTTTATGATGATGTCTGTTTATATTGTGGTATCAGTTTAGGCATGCTCTCAATGAGAAATCTCCCTGCAACTTCTCCCCTCAAAAGGAACTCAAGTAAATTTCATGTACTTTTGTATTGAAAAATAGTATAAAACTCCAGCTGTCTGTAGCAGCAGTGAAAAATTGTCTGTCATAGCTGGGTATAAAAAACATGATGTATGTGATTCTGGGGTAACTTCAAGCACACAGGTTGGGACAGAATTTATTCTGTAGTATTCAGAGAACACTGCAGCCATTGATAAGGTAGAACTGGACTGAATTTTGCATCGATGAGTTTATCCTAAATATGAATGTCAAATACCAGCAGAATACTCAAATCGCTCATTTAAATTCACTAATGTTGCATATATGGCATAGTAATTCCGAATGGATCCACATCTGTCTGGAGGCTCATCCATGCACATTTCTGTGAAGGAGTCTCTGTAATTGACTAGCTGTGTGTGTATTTGTGTGACTGCTTCTTTTCTGCTATCACGGTTTGTATCTTTAGAATATTTTTTACAATATTTAAATTATTATTTTCAATAATTTTCCATTTTCACCTTCTTCTATGCTGTCCAACTCTGTTATTTGCATAGAAAGGCAATCACTGTAGACCATGTATGTCAAATAACATTAATTTTAACATATGTGTTTAGCTCACAATGGATTGGGGTTTATACTTTGAGATTTAATAATTTCAAGACCTTTCTTCTACTGCGGCATTTCTTCTTTTCCTCTAATTTCACAAGTTTGGGTCCACAGTTCTCTTACTTAAGGCAGGAACTACACCATCTTCTCTGTTTTTTCTCAAGAACAAGAGGCAGTTTCTGTAAACCACTTTTCCCTAATGTACAACTCTAATTCTAAGTTCCAAATATCATAATTAAAAATCAGTTTGTTACAGAAAAATATGACAACATAATTAAAAAAACCCAGCAAAACATCATTTCCTTAGGCTAATACCCGTAGGCAGGTATAACCTTATGTAATCCATTTTGTCAGTATTGGTTAGAATATATAAGCCTCTTGATGATTAATGAATGTATGTTGTATCCTTAGTTCTTTAAAAGAGCTTTGGCCGCTGTCAGAAGTAAGACTAGCAGGATCTCTGATCTCTTTTATTACAGACACACTTTTATGAAGTTATGTATTTTATAAGCTGAGTTCTTATTCTTGCTTCCTTGCTTACCTTGGGGTAAACATTTCTGCTTCTATGCTTCTCTCTGTGCAAACTGAGTTTGAAGGTGAAAGGCAAAATATGCTGCTATATGAGGCTTTCTGATGTCTTGTTTTCAAGTGATCTGTAAGAAAGTATGGCTTTGTCTCAATCTGACTGCCATTTTCTTATGAAGTAATTGTGAGTCAACAAGAACAAGCAACTGAGAATTCTTTCTCAGTTTCATATTTATACCAAACTGGTGGCAATCCACTTTGCTGCCTGAGAAATACTGGAGAGTAGAAAGTTCTTTTTCTTGATCTGGGAAACTGCAGCCCAGTCAGCCTCCTTCACTGGAAAGGTGATGGAACAGCTTGTTCTGGATACCATCACCAGGCAATTGGAAGAGAAAAAGGTTATGAGGAGTAGTCAGCAGGGTTCAACAGGTGGAGGTCATGCTTGACCAACCTGGTAGCCTTCTATGATGTTGTCAGTGGCTGGGTGGATGGGGGGAGAGCAGTGGATGTAGCCTACCTTGATTTCAGCAAGACATTTGACACTGTCTCCCACAACATCCTTATAATGAAGCTGAGGAAGTGTGGAATAGATGACGGGGCAGTGAGGTGGGTTGAGAACTAGCTGACTGGCAGAGCTCAGAGGGTTCTGACTGGCAATGCAGAATCCATTTGGAGGTCTACATTTAGCAGTGTTCCTCAGAGGTTGGTGTGGGTCCGGTCTTGTTCAACATCTTCATCAATGACCTTGATGAGGGGATAGTGGCCATCCTCAGCAAGTTTGCTGATGATACGAAACTGGGAGGATTGGCTGACACCAGATGAGATAAGAAACCAGATGAGGTTTAACAAAGGAAGTGTAGAGTCTTGCAACTGGGGAGGAATAATTGCATGCACCGGTACAGGCTGGGGGATGACCTGCTGGAGAGGAGCTCTGCAGAGAGGGACCTGGGTGTCCTGGTGGACAACAGGTTGGCCATGAGCCAGCAGTGTGCCCTTGTGGCCAAAAAGGCCAATGGCATTCTGGGGTGCATTAAAAAGAGCGTGGCCAGCAGGTCGAGGGAGGTGATCCTCCCCCTCTACTCTGCCCTGGTAAGGCCTCATCTGGAGTACTGTGTCCAGTTCTGGGCTCCCCGGTCCAAAAAAGACAGAGATCTCCTGGAGAGAGTCCAGTGGAGGGCCACAAAGATGATAAAGATCCTGGGGCACCTTGCTTATTAGAAAAGGCTGACTGACCTGGGTTTGTTCAGCCTTGAGAAAAGACGACTGAGAGTAGATCTGATCAATGTCCATAAATATCTTAAGTGCGGGAGGCAAAGGGACATGGCCAGACTCTTTTCAGCAGTGTGTGGTGTCAGGACAAGGGGAAGTGGCCAGAAACTGGAGCATAGGAAGTTCTGCACAACTGTGTATAAGAACTTCTTCACAGTGAGGGTGACAGAGCACTGGCACAGGCTGCCCGGGGAGGTTGTGGAGTCTCCTTCACTAGAGATATTCAAGACCCATCTGGATGCCTACCTGTGTAACCTGGTCTACGGAGCCTGCTTTGCAGGAAGGTTGGACTTGATGATCTCTAGAGGTCCCTTCCAGCCCCTACAATTCTGTGATTCTGTGATTCTATGATTCTTTGTTGCCCCATTCAACAGGTAGGAAACTCCTCCTAGATCCCTCATGACTAAAGTGGGTGAAGTTGGAAAAACTATGAGATGGATGGAGCTCTTCCAAGTGGGCCAGGCATCTGCAGCACATCCTGGGTGTGATGCCTCCGATGGAAGTTTCTTCATATTTTTTATGCAATACTTATACTGGAGCTGTGGCAGGGTTCCTGAAAGAAGTCTGTGCTGCTCTTTAGGAATGTGCTTCTAGTCAGGGCATGTTACTAAATCGCTTCTCGAATAAGCAAATGCTTTCCAGAGATCCCACAGCAAGTGGCAGGGGTAGCTCATGCCCTTAGTGCAATTACTGGCTCAGCTCTGGTATCAGGGCAGACTGGCTGCATCCGTGCTGCGGGTCTGGATGTCTCCTCTGGGCCTCTTCGGCGCCGCAGTGGCTGAAATAATGCAAAGGCACGAAATAGCCCTCCTGAGTGTTTTTATAGCATGGAACCGAGGCTATATATGTCCTGGGATGTGGTTTATGAGATATTTGAGGGGCAAAATTTGCTGTAATAAAGTTGAAGGATTGTAAAGAACAGAGGGAGTCAACTGGAGAGCGGAAGAAGCAGACCTGATGTAGCTTCAACCACAATGACTTTTCTGTCATTCCTTGGAGAATATCGTTCCCAGAACTGTGCACAGACTTTGTCTGAGAGACCAATTTGAAGCTGCCTAGAGTGAGAGAAGGATGAGATAATTCTCCAGTACTTGGTTGTATCTCATGACCCTACAGCATTTAGCAGTCCGGATAATCTTTTTTACTCAAAGGGTCTTTTCCAGATACACTGAGGCTCGCTCTTGGTGGTTTGCTGACTACAGGACCTGCAGTTCTGCTTTTTTGGGTAGCCTTGAGTTTGCTTTCAGAATATTATGAATATCTTACAAGGCTTCAAATGGAAGTTGATATTGGTTTCACTTAAGTCTCTGACTATTTTGTCATTAGCAAATAATTTTATCCTCAGCAATTTTTTTTGGCACTGTTCTGTTTCCAACAAACAGCAGTAACAGAAATATTCTTTGCAGCTGAAGTGGCAGACTTAGGCGAGGTAGTGCTGAAGATACTGGTACGTGATAACAGTCACCACTTGGTGGCATCCCCTCCATGCTTTATTTAGCTGTCAACTACAGCCAGTAAGCTCAGAAAACTTTCTAAGTT